CACCAAGGATGAACTCAAATAATGTTAAAGAAAGGTTATGTCCATCTACTCTGTCACTTCAAGTTTGACAAATACACATAACTTGGAGCTATTGTTCTTGGTTCATATATGCATAGATTGATGTGTTTAGAAAAAGTTTGTTTTGGCTTTGGTTATGTTGCACTGCAGCTGTCAAGAAATGACCACAGTAATTTGTGTGAATCAACTTGCTAGCTGCTAGCCTGTTAGCTAGCAAACATAGTTAGGTGCTGAAGATAATAGTTCAGGGGATACAATTGACACATTTAACTTCTGAAATTAGCAGTCAAGCTAGTTTATACATTAACAAACAAGTTGCTAGCAAGTTATCCGGGTGCATGGTAGCCTATCTAACATACCTACAGTGCATTCGGAAAGTATTCAGTCCCTTAACTTCTTCCACATTTTGTTACCTTACAGCCTTATTCTAAAATGGATTAACTAAAAAAATGTCCTCATCAATCTACACACAATACCCCATAAAGACAAAGTGAAAACAGGTTTTTCATTTTTTCCCCAAATGTATTAGAAGTAAAAAACTGAAATACCTTATTTACATAAGTAAATTAAATTGATTGGACATTACTTGGAAAGGCACACACCTGTCTATATAAGGTCTCACAGTTGACAGTGCATGTCAGAGCAAAAACCAAGCCATGAGGTCGAATAAATTGTCCGTAGAGCTCCAAGACAGCATTGTGTCGAGGCACAGATCTGGGGAAGGGTACCAAAACATTTATGCAGCATTGAAGGTCCCCAATAACACACTGGCCTCCACCATTCTTAAATGGAAGTAGTTTGGAACCACCAAGACTCTTCCTGGCCAAACTGAGCATCGGGGGAGAAGGGCCTTGGTCAGGGAGTTGGCCAAGATACCGAAGGTCACTCTGATAGAACTCCAGAGTTCCTCTGTGGAGATGGGAGAACCTTCCAGAAGGACAACTATCTCTGCAGCACTTCACCAATCAGGCTTTTATGGTAAATTGGAAGGCATTTTATATGTCACATGCGCCGAATACAACAGGTGTAGATTTTACCGTGAAATGCTTACTTACGATCCCTTTCCCAATAATGCAGAGTAAAGAAGTATATAATATATAAAATGAGCGGAATAAAAACATTTAAAAAAAATAACAGTGCACTACATAGTGAATATGGGTGCCATTTGGGACACAATCTCTGATATAAACGTGATGAATCTTCTGTATTATTTACAAATGCGCTATGTATACCTTATGACGGTGTTGTATAGTCTAATTTTAGATGCCCTGTGGTCTTTGGAAACAGGTAAAAGCCCTGAGGTCCCACTGTCCTTATGTTCACAACCTGTCGGAGCTGTGATTCGAACCGGCAACCTTCCGGTTGCTGGTCTGCTTCTCTAACCTCAACAATCTGGCTATGGGGGAGTACTGTATTGGCCAACTCCTATACCAAACGGTGACCAATCAGTAATAGGCACAAAGATACTCTTTCAATGTTCAGAGCTTGACGACCTGGAGTCACTCTCTTAAAGTGAACATTTTTACTATGTCTTGTTTTAGTCCTCTGACAATCAAGCACAGCTGGGGAACACTCAGTGTGTAACCCAATGTGTCCATTCATAACAGTCCACCCACACAAATAACCTCTTGTTAAAGGTTCCTCTTTGGGGCTTGTTTCTTCATTAGAAGTCCCCCGTGCTGCAAGGAACCCAAAGTATCGCTGACATAAATTTATCCACATCAGAATGGTCCCCACCGTATTCCGGTTCCTCAAATTCCTTTCTTTCTTTCTTTTCGTTCCCTTGTTCTCTCACTCTTGAGTGTTCACGCCAACACTCAGAAGACCATGATCTCATTGGCTGCTCCCTTTTTTACATCGGACAGGAAATACACCTCTTAACCACCCTCCACCCCACCAGGAAGTATTTCCTTTCATCTGCTCTCTGTCCCTCCTTTCATCCCTTCGTCCCTCACCTCTGGTCAGCCCACATGCGGGCCTCACCCCTTTACCGCCATAATCACTCCCCCTCACTCCACCGCTAGTGGGATTGACTGTTCAGTACTGTTCTCCTGGTGGTCCTCACAAGCTTTATGCTGTCATGGGGTCCTGCTCTTTATTTAATTTTTTTTACCCAAACCCAAAGCCCCTCATTTACAATTGCAGACTCATCGACCCATGCGCTCCATGTGTGGTCAGTGTTTAGTGAATGTGCGGTCAGAGGCACGCAGGTGGTGCAGGGTCAGCTCGCTAGTGGATAAACAGACATTGGTCTGGTGGGTTTGAGTCATCCCTTCGTGTTGCTGTTTTCCACGAGAGGCGATATATGGGGTAAAATAGGAGGTATGGAGAGGGGGGGATAGGGGGAGGGAGTGATGAGTTAGTAACTAATGTGACATTGGAAGAGGGAGATTGGCGAGAGAGAGAAGGAAGAGAGGGATTGAGGGAGTGGATGGAAGAGAGACTGAAGATGATGAGAGCGAAAATGACCTTCGACCTAGAGAATATGTCAGCTAGAGGAAAGTCCCTCTCCTTTTCATATTTTCTATAGTAGAGAGAGAGTGTGATACTGCACTCAGTCGGCGTCAAACCAATGTTTGCAGTGGTACATACAGTAGTACGAGAGGCAGCGGCTTAGACCGCTGGACCACGCCTGGTGACATGAGGAATAATTTAACCGGTGCGCTGGTTTTTGCATCAATGGTTATTTGGACTATTCACAATTTTGTGGTGGTGCACCTACATGTACACCTTTTGACTTTCGGAAAGGGGAGGGCTTAATTCGGCCCATAGACTTGGCCGAGAGGATTTCAGAGAAGGGGGTGTGGACTCCAAAGAGGATGGTTCCACCACTTGCACTAGGCCAAACTGTGTCTGTCTGTCTTGTCCTGTTCCCCGACTCTCTCTCTGGGCCCACCGCTATTTTTAACCCTCAGAAATCAACCTCATCTTTTTTGTCCATCCCCAACCACATGTTTACCGCTCATCAGTCACACATGTCAGGGCTTTGATGTTGTCCTTCCCACTGAGGGAGGGAGAGGGGGAGAGCAAGCCCTTGTCGATGTACTAGCTGGCGTATATACTGAGTATACAAACAAAACATTAGGAACACCTTCCTACTATTGAGTTGCACCCCATTTTGCCCTCAGAACAGCCTCAATTCTTCTGGGCATGGACTCTACAAGGTGTCGAAAGTGTGTAACAGGGATGCTGGCCCATGTTGACTCCAATGCTTCCCACAGTTGTGTCAAGTTGGCTGGATGTCCTTTGGGTGGTGGACTATTCTTGATACACACAGTAAACTGTTGAGCGTGAAAAACCCAGCAGCGTTGCAGTTCTTGACACAAACCTGTGCGCCTGGCACCTACTACCATACCACATTCAAAGGCACTTCAATGATTTGTCTTGCCCATTCACCCTCAGAATGGCACACATACATAATGTCTCAATTGTCTCAAGGCCTAAAAATCCTTCTTTAAGCTGTTCCTCCCCTTCATCTACACTGATTTGAAATGGATTTAACATGTGAAATCAATAAGGGATCATAGCTTTCACCTGGTCAGTCTGTCATGGAAAGAGCAGGTGTCCTTAATGTTTTGTATACAGTGTTGATCACGGAGGTATAATAAGAACTGGAGACTGCGTTCAAGATGTCCGCCCGTTGTTTTCATGGTAATCTACTCACGTTCGCATATGCCGATTCATGGACCGTCTATATACGGGTTCCATCCGGTTTATTCGGACCAACATCACATGCGCATTAGCACTTGGGAGCTGCTACAACGTCATCACGTCATCCATGAACATGGCAGACATTGGATGAATATAAAATGTTAATATCTTAAACTGTGAGTGATGAGTGAAAAAAATTGGCCTCTGCGACAATTATTTGAATAATTCAATGGATGTTTTGTGCACAAAGGTGATGAATAAAGTGTCTTATTAGGAATTTTCTAGTCTGAGTTCTCTATGAGGCCGTGTATGGAAATTGTCTTTCTGGGCTAAGCGTCAGTTAAACTGCAGTACCGACGCAAACTGTAGGAGCAGTCGAAACCATGCTTCTAGACCAGAACCCTGGCCCCTTAGTATAGATAGGGAAATACACCGTCCCCTGTCTTTTGGTCTGGTATAAGCGGAAGTGGTCTTACTAATGGCAAACTGATTTGCTTTCATGGAGGACTGGTTTGAATTGTGAGGATGACCATGGGTGGCTTTTAACAACAACAACAAAAACTCCTCATGTCGTACTCTTTGGTAGGAAGAAGTTTGATCCAATTTGGATGTTGGTACTTTACACTATTTATTGAATATTAAACGGATTCTATAAATAAAAATTGCCAATTTATTTGGCAATCAATTAGCTTAATTTCTCCAAGATAAAATTACATTAAAACAAAATAATTTTTCAGGAATGCCAATATAACCTGTTTCGAACTACAGATACAATTTTATAACAATCTGAGATTGTGGGTGTCATGGCTTGCTGAAATGACATGGAACGACTGGTAAGATGGCTCTTTCTCAATTAGTATTTTAATGGTTCCTCGCCTCCTGTCTCTTTGCCTCCTGTTCAACCGTATTGGAGAAGGTCCAAGGGCCCTCCGCAGACCTTCTAATCCAATGCCTTTTGTAAAGGAGGCTAGAAGAGAGGATGCAAAGAATCGAGGAAAGATGCATTTAGAAAGTACCAGTGTCAATGTCTGGGCAGTCATTTCAGGCATGTTGTGGGGGTGTTTTTTGACAGTACCTACAGGAGATCGCATTGCAGAAATGATTGGTGATTAGGCCTAGATGCAAAGTGTGGGTTCCGTCCCTATGCCTGCCTCTCTCTTTCTCTTTCTCCATTCCCTCTTTCTATCTCCTCTCCTCTCTTCTTTCTCTGTGTCAGTTTGCATACCTTCTATTTTGAAGAGGAATAAATGCTTACATTGGGTGTACAACATCATGCCTAACCTCTCCACTCCCCCCTCTCTGCCCCTTTCCTCTACTTCTTCCCTCCCCAGACCCCTATGAACCAGGCATCCACGCGTTCCCACTGCATCTTCACCATGCACGTGTGTGGCCGCGAGCCCGGCTCGGTCACCATGCGGCGCTCCAAGCTGCACCTGGTGGACCTGGCGGGTTCAGAGCGGGTGGGCAAGACGGGCGTGTGTGGGCAGCTGCTCACAGAGGCCAAGTACATCAACCTGTCGCTGCACTACCTGGAGCAGGTCAGAGTTCAGAGGTCACATGGGGTTTAAACAGGGAGGGGAACAAGGTCGTACGAGGGGGAGGGCAGAGAGGAGGAGGAGGAGGGTTGTTGTGGGTTTTACGCATACTTCCTCACAGACGTAGAAGTCGACTCCAGGTGTCGTAAAAAAGCTCCTTGCCATCCTATGTTTGATGTCATCCTCCTACTATGTTTGATGTCATCCTCCTACTATGTTTGATGTCATCCTGCTGAATGCAACCTTAAATCTCTGAACAATTGATAGTTGGAGTATTTCTGTCCATCAGCCGAAATGTTTGTTTTTGCTCTTGTTGCCTCTTACTTAATAAAATAGCATAAAAGAGTGCGGCACCTGTAAACAAATGAATCTGATCTAGTACTCAAATTCCTCTTCGTCTTCCCCTCTCTTCCCTCTCTCTCTGAGTCAGGTTATCATTGCTCTCTCGGAGAAGAACCGCTCGCACATTCCCTACCGAAATTCCATGATGACGTCGGTGCTGCGGGACAGCCTGGGAGGGAACTGCATGACTACCATGATCGCCACTGTGTCTGTGGACAAGAGAAATGTTGATGTAAGAGTTCCCCATTCACTCCCTTTGCTGTCACCATGGGCCAAATCCTATAGTTTGTAACCAGGGAACATTTGGTGCAAATCTCCCATTGACATTAAAGACCCAATTCTTTATTCTGAAAAGCGGCTGCACCTTTAATGCATGATTTATAGAAGTCAAACTTTTGGATTTCAAGTTAGGTTGTGGAATAAAACATGGAAACAATTGGGTAAATGAGGGATGAGGGAGCTAACTCTGCAGATAGCACTGCTGGGTGATTTGAAAAGTCATAGTCAATCGATCAATAATATAATAATACTTTTAGCAAAAATATTTACAATCTGTAGAAACTATGAGAATAGAAAGGTTCAGAACTTTTGTGAAATATCACAGCACAGTTGAAAAAGATATGGCAAATAGAAATCCAATATGGATGGTGTTAAGAGATAGATGGGAGGTGTTGAATGGAGCTGAAGGGTGGGACTTATAACAACAAAATAACTAATGTAAAATATACTGTGTCTGTAAAATGTATATAAGTTCAGAACTTTTGTGAAACAGCACAGTTAAAAATAAATGGCAAATATAAATCAAATTGGATAGTCTTCAGAGATAGATGGGAGGGGTTGAGGGTAGCAGAAGGATAGGAGTAAAAATGAACAAAAGATAACTATTGTAAAATAGATTGTGTCTGTTAAATGTATATAGTATGTATAAGCTGGAAGTGGAAGCCTAAGTGGTGGTGTTCATTAGTTTACTCCAATTAGGGGAGGGGTGGTAGGGTTAGTGGAAAATAATAAAGGAAAATATATTTTAAAAATATGTGTATGTAAATATATATGTGTATATGTATTTTATATGTATGTATGTACTTGCCTTCGGAAAGTATTCAGACCCCTTGACTTTTTTCACATTTTGTTACGTTACAGCTTTATTCTAAAATTGATTAAATGTTGCTAATTTATTACAAATAAAAAACAGAAATATAACATTTACATAAGTATTCAGACCCTTTACTCAGTGCTTTGTTGAAGCACCTTTTGGCAGTGATTACAGCATCGATACTAATTGGGTATTCAGAGACTTGTCCGGAAGCCACTCCTGCGTTGTCTTGGCTGTGTGCTTGGGGTCGTTGTACTGTTAGAAGGTGAACCTTCGCCCCAGTCTGAGGTTCTGAGCATTCTGGAGCAGGTTTTCATCAAGGATCTCTCTGTACTTTGCTTCGTTAATCTTTCCCTTGATCCTGACTAGTCTCCCAGTCCCTGCCGCTGAAAAACATCCCCACAGCATGATACTGCCACCACCATGCTTCACCATAGGGATGGTGCCAGGTTTACTCCAGATGTAACGCTTGGCATTCAGACCAAAGAGTTCAATCTTGGTTTCATCAGACCAGAGAATCTTGTTTCTCATGGTCTGAGAGTCCTTTAGGTAATAATAATAATATGCCATTTAGCAGACGCTTTTATCCAAAGCGACTTACAGTCGTGCGTGCATAAATTTTTTTTTGTATGGGTGGCCCCGATATGGGGTTTCCACTTTACTTATGGCACAGTCTTGTAAATATCTTCAGTCAAAACCGTCATCTCTGTCAGCACACACAACATGAATAAAAACAGACAAACACATAGAAAATGCTGGAGAGCCCGAGCAACAGAAATCCACAGCTTGAGCCGTGTCCATCTTCTCCATTTTGTCTCTGAGCAGGCCAAAGACTCCCTGCTCTCCTTGGACAGTCTGTTTGTATTGAAGGGACTTTTCTGGGTTATAGATGGGCAGGCCTGAATGTGGAAAGGCCACCAGAGCAGTGGGTTATTGATGGGGCTAGTAGCTTCAGTATCACATGGTCACATGTCTATGTAGGGCCTACAGTGACCTGACCAATAGAATGGTTGGTTGGGGCGATGGAGAGTTAAACCAGGCAGCGACTGTAGTGTCTGTAGGCCCTACAGGTGATGGCCATGACAGGAACTGACATCTTGTCTCAGTGTTTCTCCAGTGCTCTGGTCAGCAGGTCGTTGAGGCGGGCGATCATGGGTCGGGGGTCGTCGTTGAGGCCCGCTGCGATCATGGCATTGTCGTAGATCTGCTCCTTTTGGCAAACTCCAAGCGGGTTGTCATGTGCCTTTTACTGAGGAGTGGCTTCCGTCTGGCCACTGTACCATAAAGCCCTGATTGGTGGAGTGCTGCAGAGATGGTTGTCCTTCTGGAAGGTTTTCCCATCTCTACAGAGGAACTCTAGAGCTCTGTCAGAGTGACCATTAGGTTCTTGGTCACCTCCCTGACCAAGGCCCTTCTCCCCTGATTGCTCAGTTTGGCCGGGCGGCCAGCTCTAGGAAGAGTCTTGGTGGTTCCAAAATTCTTCCATTTAAGAATGATGGAGGCCACTGTGTTCTTGGGGACCTTCAATGCTGCAGACATTTTTTTGTACCATTCCCCAGATCTGTGCCTCGACACAATGCTGTCTCGGAGCTCTACGGACAATTCCTTCGACCTCATGGCTTGATTTTTGCTCTGACGTGCACTGTCAACTGTGGGACCTTATATAGACAGGTGTGTGCCTTTCCAAATCATGTCCAATCAATTGAATTTACCACTGGTGGAGTCCAATCAAGTTGTAGAAACATCTCAAGTATGATCAATGGAACAGGATGCACCTGAGCTCAATTTTGAGTCGCATAGCAAACGGTCTGAATACTTATGTAAATAAGGTATTTCTGTTTTTTATTTTTAATAAATTAGCAGACATTTCTAAAAACCTGTTTTCGCTTCGTCATTATGGGGTATTGTGTGTAGATTGCTTAAAAATATATATATATTTCATCCATTTTAGAATAAGGCAGTAACATAACAAAATGTTGAAAAAGTCAAGGGGTCTGAATACTTTCCGAATGCACTGTGTGTATATATATTTTTTATATTTTTAAGATGGGGGATTGGAAATGATGCAGACGATTACATTGATGGAAGCTACAATCTATCTTCAATAATAAAGCTGATCTACCCCCTAAAAAAATAAAAATAATGACAATGCCTCCATTTACAGAGCATAGTATTTATGACCTTAAATGCTTTCCGAAGGACAGTTTTTCTGTTTAGTTGGATGGGGTTAAGATCGAGTCTGGGTTAGGGAAAGATGTTGTTTAGTTCATTAAATAACTGTAATTGGGAATGGGGAAATGAAAACCATCCATATTCAAGTATCTCACCGTCTCTCTCTTTCCCCCCTTGTCTTCCTCCCCTTCCTCCTTCCATCAGGAATCCATCTCCACATGTCGCTTTGCCCAGCGGGTCGCTCTGATCAGGAACGATGCTCTGCTGAATGAGGAGCTGGACCCTGCCCTGGTCTGTCTGTCCGTTCATCCGTCTGTCCGTCCGTCTCTCTCAGTATTTGTCTGTCTGTCTGACTGTCAGTGTCTTGTCTGTCCACCCATTAGTTAGCCTGTCCACCCATTCGTCCGTCCTTATGTTTGTCCGTCTTGGTGTGTCCTCGCCTGGCCTCCGTCACCCAGGATGATCCTTCCCCCCCCCCCCCCTCTTGCTCATCTGTATGGTATTTAGACTGGTGCACAGGGCTGTTTGCGTTCTAGTGCTGTGTGTTTACATACTACCCCTCGGTCATGGTGCATTTTTCAGCTCAATATCTCAACAGTCACAGCCTTCTCTTAGGATATAGCCAGCTGGAGGTGGAACATACTACCGCGTGTGTACACATTAACACACACACACACACACACACATGTGCATGCAGGCACACACACACACACACACTGGCTTGCCGCTTGATGAAGATTAATTAGAGGCCATGTTTTCTGGTGGTGCTGTTTCAATGACAAACAGATGTATGAAAAGAGACAATGTGTTCTCATTGATTGCTTTTTGCAAAACCTTGAGGGAACATTTTGGTGCTCCATGTTCCAAATAACCAGTACAGAATTAAATAGCAATTCAAGAATTCTTCTTTCTGTGGAAACAGTAGGTCAATTGGGGTACTGTGGATGATCTGTGCTCCCTCCAACCCTAAAACGATGAGTATATTTTCTAACTCTCTCTTTCTCTCTCTCATTTCTCTCTCTTCCCCCTCCCTCCCTGTTTCTCACTCTCTCTATGTTGCCCCTCTGGTTAAAACAATGACGTCATTTATACATCTTTATATAGGCATGTCTGTCGGCAGACCTGGTTGTCTCTTCATAGGCTTGTGCACCCTGCCCAAAGGACAAACCTAGAGGAAACACTGACCATGACATCCCCTCCCCCAGGCTTTGGATCTAGGATATAGTTGTGTGCATTATTGTACGGGCTTGGCTGGCATTACCAAACCCTGCAGAGGTATTTTTAAGAGAGTCTGCGGCTGGCCGTTAATTGAGCTGGTGTCTGGGCTGGCTGGTTTAAGTTGGGGAGTAGCCGCCCTTTCAGCTCTGGGTAGTAGTGTACTGCTCACAGGTCTTTCTCCAGAGCAAGCTCCCGCTCTCTTTCACTCTATCTCTTACTCACACACACACAGTGGACACACACACACACAGTGGACACACACAGTGGTGAAAAAAAGGTAGTAGTGGAATTTGCCTTGCAGATTATCAGAATGATGTCATTCGTGTTGGTTTAGAGCTGCTGTTTTGACCCTACTCTGTCCCTGCAGACACTTTTGCAAGCTGGACTCTCCTATCTGTTAAGTGCAGTTATACACATTGTGGGTAACAACCTGCTTTTGTACAGTTGACAGTTTTGTACAGTTCACTGGGGATAATTGAAAGGCACACATTTTGGTGTTGGAGATGTTGGGTTGCGAGTTGGAGGAAGCAGGACAGTTAAGACAGTAACTTTGGCAACCCAAAACCAAATCTTGCGTAAGTGATGTTTGGACTAATGCGAGTGGTGGGTCCTCTTTGGTTGCAGATAAGTCAATGCCCCCATCATGCTGACTGGTGAGAGCCAAGAATAGTCTGGTCTACATTGAGAATTATGTTAAGGTTAAGTTACAGAGCCTTCAGAAAATATTCATAACCCTTGACTTATTCCACATTTAGTTGTGTTACAGCCTGAATTCAAAATGGATTTAATATTTTTTTTTACATCTCACC